GGCAGGTGAGGCAGCCTTTTCTCAGCTGTGGAAGGCTGACCTGTACCACACCTGCCGTGAGAGGTGGGGTAGCTCAGACCAGGAGGCTCTGGGTTGGAGGAGGCCCTGTGTTCACTGCCCCCCAGCCGGCTCTTGTTCTTTTCTTTTTGTCTTTTAAAACTTACTGGAGAAGTTGTGCCCTCAATTGAAAGCCTATTATTCTGGGCTTATACCTGGCCCAGTGCAAGTATGGTGCACTCGGTTCTCTGCTCCTGCAGAGGCCGAAGGTTTCTCAGGTATCTTAAATGTGTGTGACTATGCCTGGTCTTTGGGCAGATAAATCTGAGTGGTGTCTGATTCTGCGTCAGCAGTGGTTTTAATGCCAGGTCGATGGGATCGTGTCTTTTCCTTTTTAGCATAAATCCTGGGACAGAGTGCTCTTTCAATCAAGAAGAGATGTTTTCATAGGATTCATCTGTAGGTCTGCTGTCGACATCGCTACGGAAGGTGCTCAGCAGACACCAAGGTCCCCTCTTCTGCTCTGATGGGACCGGGCCCTTCCTGGTGATTTCCCAGCACACCTTGCCCTGGCACACAGGGCATTGTGGGGAAGTCTTTTCAGTTTGAAAGATGACAGTAATTACATCTGCCTGCTCATTCATTATACAACACCCTTATTTCCAGTGAAGTGGAAATTTCAGTTTCAGAACTATTGCTAACCAAATTACCTTTATCAGTGAAAGAGCATCTGCTCACAATTACTTATAAAATGGAAAAAAACGAATCTTTTCAGCATATACATTCGCAGCTCTGATGTATATAAATTGAAAGTCAAGCCTGGAGTTCAGCAGTCCATTTTTCACCCTGTTCAAAACAGGAGGCAGCCCTGCCAGACATTCATTATGCACATTAGAAGGTGGCTGGAGATGGGGCTGGTCCACTTTGTCACTCTTCCTTACCTGCTTCCAGAGAAGCTCGCAACCAGTGGAAAATGGGCCCCTGCCTGTGAACAAGGACGCTCTGCAGCTCATTCTAGGATTGCGTTCTGTCGTATGTCCTAGCCTGGCCTTGTGCTGCGCTGCCCGTGCCCCTTGCTGCACCTCACTCAGGTTCCCGATGGGCGTGGCACTAGCCTTTCAGCTCCTTTCAGGAGAGAGGGCAGGCCAGGTACTGGGTGCTCGTACTGGGGGAGTCTGGTCAAGGAGACAGCTCGGAGGCTCGACTCTCTTGTCCTCCCTGCCTCTGTGGTGTCTAGCTCCAGGGCAGGAAGCAGGCCTTGCATTCCCTGTGCCTGCCCTGAGAGGCAGCCTGGGTGTGGGGCCCAGTGGATCTCTGCTGGGAGAGCTGAAGAGTGGAGAGCCTTCCTTTCCCCAGGGCCTGGCTGTGTCCTCCCGGGTCATCACTGGGTTTGGGTTTCCCTCCTTGGCTGGCGCTCTTGCACATGCCGACTGGGCTTTGCTCTGTGGAGGGTGATGACCACGTCTAGGTGCTGGTTCCCAGAGGCCCAAGGTTGGGGCTGTTCCACTGTTGGAGGGGGTAGTTCTGGGTCCTGTCTCCACTCTGTGCTGCCATATGCACAACTTTGGACAGGTTGCCTTGCAGGTGAGGGCCAAGGGTCCCCTGGTCAGGGTATGAGGCATGTGACCCTGCAGGGAGCTCTGTGAGGGAGATTGTGCAGTATGTAGGTCTCTGTGCCCTGGCTGGCGTGCACTCCTTGCCAATTCATCATCACCAGAGGAAGGCTGGGAATGGGCGGACGGCTCTTCAGCCTCCTACGGATGAGCAGTGCAGAAGTCAGCAGCCACTCCACTAACCATGCCACCACTGCCGTGGCAGGACCTGACTATGTCAAAGAGTGTTGTGACAGGCGTCTTTAATAATCTGGACCCTGCACTGACTCCACTTTTACTACCGCAGCTCAAGGCAGTTTCTACCAGTGTTAAGCAGCCCTCTGGCATTCTACCTTTGGGATATCGGTTCTCATGCATTCTTTCTCTCTACCTGCACATAGACACCGTGGTCTGCTAGGGAGAAATCAAGTCCAATTTATAAGAGAGGCCTTAAAGCAAGCACTCACCTGCACCCCTTCCACATGCACAGGGCTCAGGTGAACGACACTGTCAGGTCTTACCCAGTAAATAGAGACTTTCTGGAGGTGGGGAATCTCTTGGAGACTGAGCCAGGCCTGCCCACCAAGAGCTATGTGACTCCTGCACCAGCCTCTCTCAAGAGTCACAGGACTCGGGCAGGAGTCACAGTTCCCCAAGCCTGGCAGGCACTCTGCTGCACACTCGGGCCCATCACAGAGAAGGTTGACATCTCCAGAACTGGAAAATAAACAGCTCTGACGCACGCCCAGAGGCAGGCGGCACCTTTCTAAGACAAACTGGCCAGAAACAACCCTGAAAAATTAAATGTGTTTCTGGAACATCTGTCATTGAAGTAACCTTATGAAACAGTGAAAATCAAGCCTCCATGCTCTACTTGCAGCCTCAAAGGCATCAGGGCAAGAAATGGGCCTGCTCCTAGCCCTCCCCGGTGAAGATGGATTGGTAAGGAGTGCACACCAGCCAAGGCATGGTCCCCTGCCATTCTGCACCAGGCTCCCCTCCACAGCTCCCTGCAAGGCCGTATGCCTCCCACCCTGACCAGGGGACTTCAGCAAGGCAGTCTGTCCAAAGGTGTGTATGTGACAGCAGCTGAGTGGAGACAGGACCCAGGAAGGCAGAGCTGCAGAATGGGAGTGGCCACCTCTTGGGCACACCAGCCCTGGGAGCCCCAGGAGCAGTGCTTTCACCACACCCCTGCATGCCACTTTGAATCCCCCCATCATCCCTGCTGGTTCCAGGCCCCGGTTTCCTCTGGGAAGCTGTCCCTGTCACTGTGGCCTGTTCCTCCCCAAGTAGCCAACTGCCTGTTCTTTCCCATTCCTGTCGTCTGAGTAAAAGACCTTGTTCAGAAAGTTCTCTTGGTCTCCAAACTGCTGGTTTCCAGATATTGTCAGAGTTGAATTTCACATGGGCTGTTGTGCCCCACGTCAGTGCACCGGGCTGTGGTGAGGCTGTCAGTTCTAGAGGGCTGTATCCTTGGGGAATGGACAAAGGTCAGGGCTAGACAAGGAGCCACCTTGGGGGCTCAGGTTCATTTTATAGCTGCAGATAATTTCAACTAGAAACAATTTTTATAAATATATTTTTGGCAGTGCTGGGGATCCAGGGCCTCATCTATGCTAGGCAAGTGCTATACCTTTGAGCTACACTCCCTAGCCCCTTTATATTCTTTAAAAAAAAAATTGCTTATATAGAAACACGCAGGGTCATCTGTCATGTTTGCATGGAAGTGTTCTAGATCTCTTAAAGCCAAACCAGGGCATGCCTATGATCCCAGCTACTCAGGAGGTTGAGGCTGGAGGATCACAAGTTCAAGGCTAGCCTCAGCAACTTGGTGAGATTCCATTTCAGAATAAAATAAAAAAGGACTGATAATGTAGTTCAGTCATAGGGCATTATTGGGTTGGTTCAATCACCCAAACAAAAACAAAAACAAACCAACAGAAAAGAATCCCACCCTGTCTGTAGGAAATGAGTAGGAACTGCACCCTGTAAGCTGCCCTGTTGCCTGGCCTCCATTCCACCTACTCCCTGACCTAGTACAATGTCCATGACTGGCCCTCTGCTGGGCCTGGAATCTCTCTGTCCCTAACTTTGTTCTTGCAGAGGCAGTACGTGGTGGGCATATGGGTACTTCTGGGCCCCCCGTTGGCCTGGGCCAGGGAGCCTCCTTGATGCTCTCCTCTGGGGTATCACGGCTGGTGCAGCCCCCAGCACCTTGCTCCCAGGCTGCTGCAGGAGCTCAGAGGAGTTGTTGCTCCTCTCTTGGCCCCTTCTGTGGTCTTTCCCTGTCTCATTTGCATTGATCTTGAACACTGGATCCTTTCTGCCTAGCCAGCCTCCCACCACCTTCTCTTCTCCGCACCTACCTGTATCAGTCTGTTTTTTATTACTACGGTGAAATATTGGAGGCTTGACAATCATAAGGAAAAGAGTTTTATTTAGCTCACATTTCTGGAGTTCAAGGACAGCACTGACATCAGCTCGGCTCCGAGGAGAAGTCATTTGTAGAAACCCGGAAGTCTGTCTTTTATGTTGGCCTGGGTGTGCCCAGATCTCTTAATAAAGCACAGCCAGACACGTGCCTGTGATCCCAGCTTGGGAACTCGTGTGAGAGGGAGAGATCCACACCCAGGACCTCACCTCCAGCACAGGAGCCCTGTGGATACAGACCACATCCAGCTGTAGCACAGCCCCTGACCAGGTGTCCCGCTGCCCTGGCTCTGGTCAGCTGAGGATGGCAGCAATTGGGGAGGAGGGTGACAGTGTGTGGACCTGGGAGCATGTCAGGGGGGTGGTGGCTCTCAGAGGGGCTGGGGCCGGACGTCGGGGTCTCAGGCTTGGCCTGGTGAGAGGGAGGATCATGTGGCTGAACTGGCTTGGCTCTGGGGATGCTGGTTGGCGACACTTTGCTTTCAGAGGCCCTGCTATCTTCAGGAGTGCCCCAGACTAGAATCCAGAGGCCACCTGGCCATGTCCAAGGACATGTCAGTGGGCCTAGGCACAAAGGAACATTTTACCTGAGGAGGGTGAAGGTTGGCCAATGTCCTGCACTCTTGAAGCCCTATCACCCTGGACACCAGCCTGGGTCTGGCAGGGCTGTCGGGTTGGGGAAAGAGGGCCTACTTGTGGGCTATCCAGATGTGCAGGCTTCCCTTGTGTGCTGGACTCAGGTCTGCCCAGGTCACAGGTGTCTTCACCATCCCTGTCACTACCCCCCCCCCCAACCACCATCATCCATCCCCCCAAGAAGGGTGGGCTAGGAAGGCTTGTGCAGTGTGAGCTGTTGCTGGGGATGTGCTGGTTGACCGAATGGGGTTCAGGGACAGGGCCTTGGGGGTCAGATGGCAGCTGTTGTGGCCTACAGAGGGCTCCCCTGACAGCCTCGGGGCCTGTGTTTGTTTTGTGCAGAGCAAGTGCACCGGCACCTGGACCAGCACGAGGTGCGGTACCTGCAGTTCGCCTTCCGCTGGATGAACAACCTGCTGATGCGGGAGGTGCCCCTCCGCTGCACTGTGCGCTTGTGGGACACGTACCAGGTGAGCCCTCCCCGCCCACATGAGCCCTGCATTTGACTTTAAGGGTCCTCTCAACTGAAAGAGTCTTGAAGGAGGTGATTGTTGGTGTTCCTGCTATTTGACCAGGTGTAGAACAGGGAAAAGGACTTCACATTGAGCCACTTGTCACTGGGTTTTACTTTGACCACTTGGTGACAGTGACCCCAATACTCACCAGCAAGTCACCTTGAGCTGAATCCTGGGAGCACAGAGTCCTGCTCTCACCCAGGATGTGCACTGTGTGTTCTCAGTGACATATGGTGGAGACCCAGAAAGTCCTAGGCAGATTGGTACAATATGACATTTTCTGCTCTTTACCTGCTTTGGTGAAAATTGTTTTTCTAGGGGATTGTGCTCTCTGGGATGGGTCTCCTCTCCCTTGTGTGTGTTGCTTGTTCTCACACCTTTATGCTTGCTCGCCTTGTCTGCTGAAGCCGTACCCGCTGCAGGGTTGGGTGCCATCGCTCACCATTGGTGCAGACTGTAGGCGCCATCATGTTGGGCTGGGAGCTGGGAACCAGCCTGCTGCTGGTATGCGTGCTCAGCTTGAGGAGGCAGGCGGTTGTGCTGTGAACTTACCCTTCATGGGTTGTGTGCTGGGCTGTGCACAGGGGCATCTGGGGGTGGGTGTTGGGGTGTCTGGGAGAGGGGCTTCAGAGAACAGGTGTTTATGAGGCAGTAGAAATGGGTTGGAATCCAGAAATGAAACCCGGCACATGGATGTGTGTGGCAGAGAGTATTTCTGCAGGGTAGCTTTGCCCTTCTAGGCATTTGCAGTGCCAGAATTTCTGATGAGTAACCCTAGTGGGTGCCTCCAACCTTACCTGGGGCTGTTGAGCCAAAGCAGCCATCAGTCTAGGGCTGTTGTCCGCCATTTGGGGTTCTAGGAAACACAACCTTACTTCTTGTGAATTGCAAAGGCTCTGCATTTCTGTGGTTGGTTGGGCGATTCAAGCCCAGGTCCCTCTTTAAGCAGGGTTCCTTATAATGCCATCCCCATCACCAACAAATGATAGTGACTCAGTTGTTTCTTGAAGAACCAGGAGCTGGATCAGCTCGCCCACATCCTCTGCTACTTCCCTGAGACACCTAGTAGGTATTAAAACTTTGAGCACGATTATGGCCTCTGCATTGAGTTAATTTTCCTCAAATTAAATTTTGTCATGAATTGACTCATTTGTCCCATGGACTCATGAACTGATAGTACCTAGTCGTAAACCTTTTCATCTCTTAAAAATTGGGGGTATTTCTATTTTACAGGACCAAGTAACCATGAAATTGTATAGCATCTTTTGGCAATGAAGATACATCGCAATCATGGGAGGCCAGCTGAGTGATAACTCTACCCTAAGCTGGGGTGTTTGTTGGCTGGCCATGATGGCTTTCAGTGACTCTTTAACCCCTGACGAGGTAGCTTAAAATTCTCTCGGGACACATATCAAAGAACGGTTATTGTTGAGTCCCTACCCTGTCCCAGGATCCCGACTAGAAGTGGTCTGACATGAATGGGGAGTGTCATCAGAAGCATGGAAAGACACCAAGGGGACATAAGCGGAGAAGGCCCCGCTCCCCTGGGGCTCTGCATGGGTGTGGTGGCTGTGGGTAGGCCAGGACCCCAGCTCCCCAAGAGCCCGAGTCCCTGAGAGCCCTGGGGTGCTGCATAAAGGCCAGATGCAGCTTCGCCGGAGGCCCCTCCAGCCATGCCCTCCACAGGGAAGGGGACCTTAGGTTGTTCCTTTCGCTCCTTCCCCTGGTTGGACTGCGTTGTGGGGTGAACTGCTTCTTTCTCTCACCAGCTCAGCCAGGCGCTCTTGTTTTCCTGGTTTACATGATGCCGGCTCCCTGCCCCAGAGGGTGTTTTCTAAGGCAGTGGGCACATGCCCGTGGGCAGGCAAGGGGGCTTGTTTTAAAGGGAGTGAACTCGGGGAGGTGTGGGGTGCAGAGCCTGATGGAATGGAGCTTCACATTGAGCCACGGGAGCCTGTTGTGCTGGGTACTTGTGGACAAAGCTGTACTTGTTCCGGGGACTCTGAGCGCAGGTCCTGCTGCTGGCAACCCTGCTGGCCAGCAGGCCTCCCAGGAGGCCTTGGGCATGCTTCCCACAGACACTCTCAGCTCAGTTCTCTTCTGCCCTCACTGTGGTCCAGTGCCTAGGTGTTGGCTTGGGGTGCTTGCTTGTGTCCACTGTGTGGGATGGCCAGGATGGAGGGAGGACGGCCTTGAGCTGGCTGACATGGTGACCTTCTGGGTGCCAGTGGAGTGGAATGGCCTCCTTTGAGAGCTCCTGTTTCCTGGGATCAGTGTGCATAGAGGTCAGGAATGCCCCAGCTTCTCCTTAGCATCAGAGCTGAGAAACCTTCTACCTGGGACGACCCCAGCATGTGGCCCTCACTCTTTTGTCCCAGAGAGCAGCCATGAAAGGAAGTACCCTGCAGGGGGGAATGGTGTCTGTTACTGTCCCTGATGGTGTGACTCCAACAGCGCAGCAGCTGGTCTGCACTGCTGTCTGCAGAGGAGCAGCATATTGACTGGCAGGTGTTCTTTTTGACTCTAGTTAATTCCGAAATAAACTTGTTATTTTAAAGGTCAGGACTAGGGGAACAGAGTGAGAGGAGCCTCCTTAACTGCTGAGAGGTGGGCCAATAAGACCTGGCCAGGAGGACAGGCCCTGAACAGCCCCAGCGAGAAATGCACAGCTTGTGTGATGCCTGTCTTGGGTGGTGGCCACCAGCCTCGTTCCTCCCTCTACATAAACCTGTACCAGAAATAGGCATTGAGTGTGTCCTGTGTGCCAGCACTGAGCTGGGCCTGGGGCACAGGAACAAGACAGAGAAGTCTATCCTCACAGAATACTCCTTGTGGGAGGAGAGCAGATGTGTAGTGGAATGACCCTGTGGACACTGCTGACCAAGGTCAGGGAGCAGGGGATCGTGTGTGGAGAAGGAGGCAGGGTGCAGAGTCATCGTGAGTGCAGAGCCAGAGGAAAGCCAGGCTGTGAAGTTGAGGGCAGCTGGGAGAGGCAGGGCCTGGAGGCAGGAGCACGGCTGGCCGCTCTTGCAGTTTCCTGTGGTGGTGGGAGGGCTGCATCCAGGACAGAGGGCGTGGGAACTGCCACTGGGTTGGGGAACTGGCAGCCTCCTGGTGCATGTTCCAATGGGAGGGAGGGAGCCAGGTAGATATCTAGGGAGTGGAAACCCTGCGCCGAGGGAGCAGCAGGTGTCAAGGATCCTCATGTTGGCCTGTCCTATAGTAATTCATGTGTCAGGGCCATGCACATGGTGTGATCAGAGCTCAGTGTCATGTGAGCTCATGTTCCCTCCCCACAGGTATAGGCCGTCACATGAGGGAGTGAGTGGCCGCGGACACCAATAGGCATGCAGGGCTCAGTGTTCCCCTTTGTTCTTTGCTCTGCCAGCTGAGGGTCTAGAAGCCACCAAACCTAAGTAGCAGTGAACACACCCTTTCCTAGTGTTTTAATCAGCTGTTTCACCGTTGTGACCAAAATACCTGACAAGGACACACAGAGAAGAAAAAGTTAACTTGGGGCCCATATTTCAGAGGTCTCCATCCACAGACAGCCGACTCCATTGTTCTGTGCCTGAGGTGGGGCAGAATATCCTGGCAGAAGGGTGCAGAGGAGGAAAGGCCAGTACAGGGCCACCCGGAAGCAGAGAGAGAACTCAGATCAACAAGGACAAAATATGAGCCCCAAAGACACACCCTCAGGAACCCCCTTCCTCCAGCCACTCCCCACCTGCCTACAGTCACCTAACAGTTAATCCTTATCAGGGAGTTAATGCACTGGTTAGGTTAAGGCTCTCATAACCCAATCATTTCACCTATAAATTACCTTGCACGGCCTCACATGTGAGCTTTAGGGAGATAACTCACATCACCCAGATATAGGCTTTTGATACTGTTCTCCAGCAAAAGAACCCAGGCTCCCTGGAGAAGTGACCGGTCCTTGGGGAGCAGCTTGGAACACCTTGTAGGGCCAGGGAGCACAGAACTGCTCAACCATCCACTGTGAACGGGCATCCAGGGGGCCCAGTGGCAGAGCAGAAGAATCATAACAAAGTAAATAAAGTAGAATGGCACTGTCACCCCAAGTATAAACTATATAAACAAAGTATTCACGAATCCACAGTGAAAGTGACCCCTGGTTGAATAAACTGATAAACTGGGAGAAGGTAGGTGCGGAGGTAGATACTTCCCCTCTTGATTTGTGCTGTGCAGAGTGACCTTGCCCAGAGAGCTCAGTACAGATAGGGGAAAGGAATGCGGCAGTGGAGATGCCTTCAGCTGCACAGCCAGGGACGGAGGAGAAGGACGCTGCTCCCTGAGACCTCTCCTCCCCAAAGCCCTAGACCAGCCCAGAGGGAATCACTGGACAACTCCCCGGGAGTTATATTCTAGAACATAGCTGACCAGCAGTCCTCAAAACTGTCAGGTTCATCCAAGGGCAGTTTGAGGAATTGTCACAGGCCAGAGGAGCCCAAGGAGAAATGATGATTGCAGGTCGTGTGGGGCCCTGGAAGGTGTTCTGGGACAGAAAAAGAACATGAGGGGAAAACCAAGGAAACCTGCATGAGAGTGGCCCTGAGTCCACATCAAGGCCAAGGTTAAGTAGTCATGAAGAAACAGGATGACTGGATGGGGCTCTGCCGCCGCCTTGTCCATCTGACACTCTGATGTGGGCCAGACTCCGTGTGCTCCTCGTATCTTGAAGATGGCCTCAGAGGATGTGTGCAGGACTGGAGATGAGTCCTAGGTGTGTTGGGAAGCTTCTGGAGCAGCCAGCCCCTCTCCGTGGTGTGGGCTGGACCTGATGGATGACTCCTCCCCGTTCACTCTTCTCCTAACTCTTTAGTGAGCTGCTCCAGGGAGAGGCCCATAGGGTGAGGAGTGGTCTTCCCACCCACCAGCCATTGAGGGCCTGAGGCCACTCAAGACATGTGAGCGAGCTGTGAGATGGAGCTTCC